AAAAAAAAGGGAGGAACAGAATCGAATAGAAACAATTAATGGCCTAAGAAGAATACAAAACCTTTTTAGTAAATCAGAAACCATAAAAGGAAAAGAAACTGTAAAAACTCACAATGTTTTAAACCTTAAATTCCAAATTTCTCAATCAAAGTAAACAAGATTTGGGGTAAAATAAATTAAAAGATCAATTGGAGTAAACTTTGAGGTTCATGATCAGGCAACTAATCAACATGTAAGCTTCCTGACACTACCTGAAGCTCTAGAAACATGAAACACTAAATAGAAGAAAGCACCCAACTTCCTGATGACGATGTGAACCTGACTCAGAAAGAGTGCTAAATCATTTGATTTTTTTAAATCGGCTATATAATCATCCATCGAGAAATAGTAAAATAGAGCACGCAGACTTAAGACATTTATTGATTGAAACCTAACATTATATCTCATTTAAATATAATGCTTCAACAATCTATGAAGTGGAACATTTAGATGGTGTTAAGTTGGAATATAGATATATTAAGGTATTTTGCAACAAAAATGACCAATGACCTGCAAATTGCTTATAAAAACGCAGTCATTATTTTCTGAATAAAGCTATTGTGAAATCCTCATTGCTGGGATTTACTGGGACATTACTTAAAGGTTGGGTGGGCTTATCAGTAAATGATTTTGTGATAGATGCAATTGCATTGTTTGATACAGGTGCAGATTTAAATTGTATAAAATCAGATTTAATCCCTAAAAGATATTGGTCCAAAACTAATGAAAAACTAAGTAATGCAAATAAATCTAAATTAGAAATTATAGGTAAAACAGATTATGTAATTAAAACCGAAGAAAGAGATTTTCAATTAAGTAAACCCTTTGAAAGGATAACTCTTTTGTCTTCTAAAGAGTTTGTTGGTAATGACTAGACTAAATGAAAATTTTATTATATATCATAATAACCAGTTAAATCTTTATAAGAGGTTTTATTGGCTGGACTACCTTATTTCTTAGGAGAAAAAGTTAGGAACAATATTAAACAACAATATGGTCAATCTATACCATACAGTAAATTAACTTATGGTCAAACTTATGGTCAAAGTTAAATGTAGTAGATAGATTGCAAAAAGAAAAGGTTTTGGCGATTTTGTGCATGACTTAAAAGCTTTCAATAGAAGCAATAAAATAATTGAAAATGGCAGAAAACTAAAAAAAGAATTAGGGATCATGTTTTGTAAACAATTTGATTATAGTTTGAAAATATCCACAGAAATGTTGTGGAGCAATGCTTGCGAAGCACATAAAGGTCTAAGAAAACATATAAAAATAAATATCAATAATAAAGAACGATACAGGTCTATATCTAGTCAAGATAAAGTTTTATTCTAAAAGAAAAATTATAACCCGCCATAGGAAGTCTAAAAAGAAAGCAACAGAGCTAAAAATTCCAAATAGAAACTCTTATATCAGATTTTAACTTGTTATAGATTGTGGTAAAAAAGGGACATACTTCAAATTTTTGTAAATTTTAATAAAGAAGTTACATGAATTACATTTCGATGAAGAAAGTGTTTAAAATTAAGAGATCCACGGGAATTGATATCGCTTGAGTTCTGATTCTTCAAAGGATCTGAGGTTATAGAAAGTGGAAATCAAGATTGATGAATCTAGGTTACAACAACTAGTTCATGCTGATAATTCTATAAATATGTTACTAAAGATCAAAGTAGCGCCTTTTAGAAGTAGTAAAATTTCTAAATAGGATGACCGAGACAGCTTAAAGCTAACTCTTCAAAAACT